TATCAAGCGCCCCTCGAACCAGATCCCCCAGCTTGGAGACAGTATCCTCCGGCGATTCTTCGGCGCCTTCGACTCCTACAAAGGCACCAGGCGAGCGCAATCGACCCAGAACCTCTCGGTCGAGGCTCATTTCCCACAGCGAGGCTCTTCGGGAGGTCCGTCGTGTCATTGTCGAGATCAACGTAACCAAAGCCGAATACAAGAGAGTCCGCGGCTTGTTCGAGCACCTCATGCGGGATGAGAACGCTACCCCGGCAATCCTTGAAGCCGCCGTCGACACCGCGTCCAGTCGCCTCGTGCGTGCGATTGAGGATGAGGAGAGAATCCAAAATGGCAACCCACCGAGACATCTGCCCTACCCGCCTAAGATGATTCCTCAGCTTCTGGCAGCTGTGGAGAAAGCCGAAGCGGACAGAGACAACTGGTACGCAGAGACCAACCGACTATTCTGGCTTGTTGAAAACATCGACAAACGGAAGATGCCGGCGTTGAAGCTCAAGTTGGAAGGGGCTCGGCAGAAAGAGGCCGCCGCGAGACAGAGAGAAGGTGTTTTAGCTGCCGGCGCGGCATGCCAAAAGCCAATTGCACCTTTCGGAAGGTCGTCAGGCACAGGAAATGCCTCCAATTCTTCCCCTGCTCCGGCTCGTCGAATGCGTCCGGGAGAGACGCCCATTGCTTCCCCGGTTACCTCTGATTTCAGTAACCAGGCTACCCTTGTTAAAGCTATACGGAACGCTATGAGACGAGCTTCTGATGCTGGTGCTCCCGAAACACCCACGGGGAAGGCTCGTCGTTGATTCTTTCTCGAGTCTTTCGATAGGGACAACTTGGAAACTTCTCTTTTCATCAGCGGTTTGGCCCATCCCTATGACCGACTATTATAACGGAAGAGCTCGCAAAGGTACGTTGTCGTTGAATGTATAAACAGGTCTTATGCTCATCTGGCCGCAAAGCAGACACTTAAGGAAGCCTGACGTTGGCTTCTCCATGCCTGCGTGGGGGCAGAAGTCCTGGCAAGCACTGGTCCTGCCCTCCTCGGTATGTTTTTGGCTGCGGGTGACCAAGCGTCAGATTTGGACCAAGCTGACAACGTGACCAACGCAGTTGTTCTCGTCAAACCCGAAAGCAAACATTGCATTATGTCCAAACTTGGCTGAGGTCTGATGACACGGCCCGCGGATGCCGGAGCCGAACCAAGCGACGCAAGCTTCCGCTTCATGATCTTCCGCCAATGCAGAAGCTTGATGCAGATTGCTCCACTTTCACCCCGCGATGCATGCCACCATCCGATGAACCCTTTCCCCCGCATTTCTGGACTAGAGGAACCGCGCAAGCTTTGCGAATTACTGGCATAGGTGCTGGGTTGGACATGCCGGAAGTCTTGTGTGGGATGGCTGGCATCTCGGAGACCGGATGAACTGCTAGCGTATGAGATATAGTTGGTAGGATTACTGCGACTCAGGACACACAGGGTAGACGTGCGTTATTTCTGGACTGAAAGATTGAACCCCGACATGTAGCCCACACCCCTTTAATAACCTTTGTCTCTGTGTCTCTTATCCTTGCCGGCTCATTCAACACCCATCGTTATAATTGTGGGCTCTTCCGGCACTCTCGGCTTAAACCTCAATCTACCTTGGAATATTGACACTATCGCAACCAAGGATCCCGACAGCACGTTGTTGAACGCGATACTATCATACTATGATGTAGATCCAAAATTGGAATTAAGCTTTCGGCCACAATCGCCGTTGAGCGCAGTTCAGCCTCGACACTGTATTGTTGGCAACTACGGTTACATCAACGTTACTTCAGTCCCGGACGATGAGGGCCGAACTTGGAGTTCCCCGATGCGGACGAACCGCTGATTCATTAACCAGGCGCACGGCTCTTACGCTGGGTCTGACGGCTCGCTTTGGAGTGGTCACAAGCTTCCAGACGGTCCGCGCATCCCCGTCCGCAAAGCGACCACACCATACGAGATCCACAGTCTTCGAGTCAGCGCCCCTGCTCGTTATCAAAGTCTAAGATACTACGTTGATGCGTCCTCTATGAGAACGTATAAGGAGGATGACCAGTTCCTGAGTGTAAAGGAACTGAAGGGCAGCAGATTTCGGCTCCTCAGACTTTCGTTATGCAGTTCAAGTCTCTCGCGGCCGTGGCCTTGGTCTTGGCCTCGGTTTCCCCCGCCGCAGCTGACACGACAACGACCATTGACGCCAAATCCAACCGCGGCACCTGGGAGGGATGGGGAACCTCTCTGGCCTGGTGGGCGCGCCGCTTCGGCACACGCGACGACCTCGCTGATATCTTCTTCACAACCAAGACCACCTCTTTCGGCGGCGCAAGCCTCCCCGGTCTCGGCTTCAACATCGTCCGTCACAACGCCGGCGCCTGCAGCTGGAACAGCATTGGTGGCGAGAGCATGGTCGTCTCGCCCAAGATGATGCTGTCTCGACAGATTGAGGGCCACTGGATCGACTGGAACAGCGCCGACCCAGCTTCGAGCAGCTGGAAGTGGGACGTGGACGCGAGCCAGCGCGCCATGATGCAGAAGGCCAAGAGTCGCGGTGCGAACAGATTCGAGCTGTTCTCCAACTCGCCCATGTGGTGGATGACCAAGAACCACAACCCCTCGGGATCCGCGGACGGCAGCGAAAACATCCAGTCGTGGAACCTCGCGCAGCACGCCGTGTACATGGCCACCATCGCCAAGTACGCCAAGGACAACTGGGGCATTACATTTGAGTCGGTCGAGCCCTTCAACGAACCGACGGCGAACTGGTGGAAGGCGGACGGCACGCAGGAAGGGTGCCACATTGACGTCGCCACGCAGGCGACCATCATCAACGCCCTTCGGACGGAGCTCAACAACCGCGGCCTCAACAGCATGACCATCGCCGCGTCGGACGAATCCTACTACGACCAAGCGGTGACAACGCTCAACGGGCTGGGTAATGCCGCGCTCAAGAACGTCGCCCGCATCAATGTCCACGGGTACCAGTACGCCAACGGCAAGCGCGACCAAGTCTTTTCGCTATCCTCGGCCCGCGGCCTGCGGCTGTGGAACAGCGAGTACGGTGAGAACGACGCCACGGGGGAGAGGCTCGTAAGCAACCTCCTCCTCGACTTCCGGTGGCTGAAGCCGACGGGCTGGGTGTACTGGCAAGTCCTCGACGGCGGCGGCTGGGGCGTCATCGACGCCGACAACGAGGCGGGCACGCTGGGGTCGGCGAACCAAAAGTACTTTGTGTTTGCGCAGTTTGCGCGGCACATCCGCGAGGGCATGCGGATCCTGGACGGCGGCGCGGACAACGTCGTGGCGGCGTACGACGCGGCGCGGTCGAAGCTGGTGATTGTCGCGGTCAACTGGGGCGACGCGCAGTACCTCAACTTCGACCTGAGCAAGTTCACACAGGCGTCGACCAACGGAGCAAAGGTTACGCGGTGGCGGACGCAGATTGGGAGCGGGGACCGATATGTGCAGGCGAGCGATACAACGATGAGCGGGACCAAGTTTTGGTCGTATTTCGAGAAGAAGATGGTGCAGACTTTTGAGGTTGACAATGTCAAGTTGTAGGAGTAGCGTTACGCATTCGTGCGAGCATCCTCTAATTGAGTTGCCAGTTGAGTGCAGTTAACCTGCATCTCCAAGGCGGTTCTAAGTGCCTTTGCAATTGAACCGGATAATACATGCAAGGATAGGAATCACAAGTTACCAACCAGTTTTTGATCAAAGCCAATTTGTGTGCAGCCCGTGCAAAAAGATGTATTATTATACACGTCAAAATGCAAAAACTTATTGTTCCGAAACCGAGAATCGAACTCGGGGCTATGCCTAACCTCTCACGTAGATGAGAGGGCATCATGTTGGCCACTACACCATATCGGAGTGCTCGTTGGTGCTAGGTACGGTGGGGTTGTTTAAGTTCCTGTGCAAGCAATCCAGAATCATGCTCGTGGAGAGTGAAGGCAGGGAACTGCGGTGCAGCTGTAAGAGATGAAGTTGGCGGAAGTTTGCCACTGCAACGGATCCGTTCTCAAGGATGACAATACAGTGAGTGTTACGATGCTCGCGATTGGCAGTGAAGTGAGCCGGGAGTTCCGTTTGCCGTTGTTGCATTCATGACAGAAACAGAGTGCGACGGTGGCGCACTGAGAGGAGTGCAGATGCGGATGTCCTGATGCAGAACAAACTGCAAAAGATGAGTGCCCATTTGAGAATGTCCAGTGCCACCCTTTAGTCTGTTGACGCACTGAAGCGGTTCAGAGCTTGCTGGACGTTGTCGCTCCTGTGCAACATGATAAGACTCGATACACGGCGACTCCGCCAGGCGCTCTCCACCTGCCTGTCTTGGGAGACTTTTGTAAGGAACTTGGGGCTCCATTGGGTGCTGTGCGTTTCGGACCGTGCAGACATTTTCCTGTTGGTAGCTATACATGCTCGGCGATGGAGTTCGATCTGACCCTCAGGATTTCGCCAAACACTATCATCCGCCATTCCGATTGACAAGCTACGACAGACAGCGGAGCTTTTCATAACGCTCAAGATAGGGGATTAGATCGGTTCCAAGTCTTCCTAAGCTAAACTCGCGCTTGTGCAGTTGGTTCTGACGTTCTATACAGCCCAAAAACCCACAACGTGTGCGACAGCGTGCAATCATCAATCGCAGTGCGAGTGGCATCCAAGTGCTTCTCTCATTCGATTGAACTTCAAGCACGAAGACTAGAGAAGAGAGAGAAACGAGCAATGTCCAAGGCTCTATATTGCTATAGCATGTCTGCAGGTGCAGCGCAGGAGAAACAAAACGTCAACAGATACTAATCAAATAACTTTGAAAGAAATGGGAAGCGTTTACAAGAGCGTTTACGAGCGGCTTTTCAGCTGAAAATGGTGTGCTGAAAATATTCAAACTTGGAAAGCTTGGAGACTGCTCTGATGTTGGAGTTTGTAAACTCGAGGAACACAAACCAAAATGGTTCAACAGAACCAAAAGAATTGCGCCCAGGGGGAGTCGAACCCCCGTCCCCAGCTACCTATGATGAATGGAAGGCTGGGATGATAACCGCTACACTATAAGCGCTGGTTATTCGCAATAGAGATGCGATTGGATGATGGGGTTCTCATCATACAGCACTAAGTATGGAGGTGGGGTATGGAGACCAAACTCGGCTGGTTTGTGGGCCTTGCAATGCAAATTATGTCAGAGACGCAGGTCTGAACGGAACACAGGTCTCTCCGTTAGTTGCATCAGTGATGGAAACGGGTTCACAGCAGATGTCCGTCCGTAGAAGTCCCAACTTTTGATACTCAGAGATCTTAGCTGGCATTGATGATTCCACTGGGTAACCAGGCTATAGGTTTTTGCGCCACACGCAACTTGGTATAATTTACTCGTTTCCAGAAACAATGATTAGGCATCAAGTGCTCAACAGGACGTCGAGTTGTGATGTTGGTCTCCCCTCATCCGCAACTTGGTCCGAACGCATTATTACATTCATAGATTCTTTACACCACTAGACAGTTCTCCCCCGCCGATTCACTGGATCCGGAAGTGCTCTTTTGATAACATATGGCTTAGCATCAAACTACTCTCAATCTCGTTCGTACGAAGTTGTGCTCGCTCGCTGATATATTATTGGAAACTCGCAAGCTGGTAAATCCGTAAGCAGAGCTTAGAGTTCTTGGATCGATTCTTTGAGCAATTTCCTTGAAATCTATGGCTGGCCTGGGTAAAATCAACCTGTTCTGCTGTTTGAATGCTAACCGACGAGGTGTACATGATTGCCAGCATCAAGATTGCTCTAACCAATTGGGTTGGGCCAGGCATATTCGCAAGAAAAATGATTATTCTTGTGTTCATACTTCCCCATTCGTCATGGTCGGAATTTGAGTATTGTTTCTCAAGTAGCCAAATAATAAATCCGGTCTTAGCCCTCGTATTCGATAGCCAACACATTCACTCAACACAAAGCAGGCACGTGCATCACGTAAATGTCAACAGGGTGGAACAGAGTAACAGTGCTACTCAGAACGAGAGGCTTTGTTTAAGTCCAGATGGAAGAATCAAACTTTTGCCTTTTATTTGATTTCTTTTCTACTGCTGCAATTCGTGACAGTATAAACTAAGAGCAGTGAAGTCCTTCCTGTATGACTACTTTTCTTGTGAATTAGACATTGTACAATAAATTCGCCTTCGACTTTTCTGTATTAGGGGTTTCTGTGTCTACGAGATAACATTAGACACCCCTCGCATCAGCCTCTGACAGAACATAACGAAGAACTATTCTTTCGAGGATTTCCTGACCACGCCTTGCAATTCTCCTCATCATCCTCCTTTGCTATGTTTTCGGCCATTTAGTATGGCTTTCTTCGGTAGCTTCCAGCACAGTAGCCTTCATCGGGCAGGTTTGCTCCACTGCGTGCATTGGTTTGAAAATTCTTTCCTAATTAAAACCCTAGAATACAATAGATCTAAACTAAAAGAACTTCCTATTCTACCTTTCTTTGTGCTAAAATCTCTCCTGCAAGGGCGCGTAGGCTCTCGGCCTGCATAATGACGCTTAGCGTCAGCTCTACAGTAGTCTCTCTCCGGATCCAGTTCCGCAACTCAACAGATACCAGGGAGTCAAGGTTATAGGAAGCCAGGGGGGCATCAGGTAGCACCTCATCCCGCTCAATCATGGTCATGGCAGACACCTTTGTGATGAGTGCTTCGGTAAGACCGACAAGGGGGTCTTCAGCCGTGGTCCAGGAAGCAGAGTACATGTCGGTGCCGCCCCCAGCGGCCTTCACCCGGTTTTTTCTGTCATTCATGAGACGGACCTTGGTGTGCACCGGATGGAAATACTTCCACGTTCCGTTCTGGATGGCCTGCCCGTCGACGTAGACCTTGAAGGCCTGCGCCCTGCCGTTGTGAACGAACGGCGACGATGGCCCAAGAAGAATGCCCTTGAAGATGGCACGGATATCTGCCATGGTAATGGCGACACCAAGAGACTCCTTGAGGATCTCGCTGAGGTTATTGTCCGCTACATACCCCACATCCAGTACCACAGGCAAGGCGACGGAAACTGTGTATTGGCCGAGGGAGTTGCGATGCTGTGCGAATGCATTATAGAACCCCTTATAATCCAGTTAGTTTTCCTCTGTCTATGTGCACTGGTCAACGCCATTGTTGTCTAGAAGAAACTCACCGCTGTGCCAGCGTAGATTGCTTGGCCCATGTTTCCAGTGTCGCCGTTGAAAGATGAGAGGGCAACGAAGAAGTCGAGGTCAGCGGGCATGAGCTCATGCAAGTTCCAAGCCCCCTTGACCCTGGGTGTAGTGATGATTTCCCAGTCCTCAAACGCGGCGTTAGCCAGGAGTTTATCCTGTGAAACTTGGTCAGCTTCCGTGCTAATTATATCATTATTCTTATCAGTAGTTCCCTTCTACATTAGACTTACACTCAGAAGGAGGGCGCTGTGGACTACTCCACGAACGGGAGGGAGGTCCTTGATCGACTCGACGACGTTGACTACCTCGTTGCGGTACCCGACGTTGCAGGCAAATGCCTTGACACAGACGTCGCTGTCCCTGTACTTGTTCAACATCTTTTGAACCTCGGGACCGGTCTCGCCGCTGCGACCGAGGAGAACAATGAAGCGGGCTCCATGCTCAACCATCCAATATGCTAGGTCGAGACCAATGCCGCGCGTTCCACCAGCTACCAAATACGTCGCGTCGGGCTTCAGCGTCACCGTCATGGGCCGCAGAGCTGTTTCTGCCATGACGGTCTCGTCCCTGCCCAGGGAAATGACCATTTTGCCCATGTGATCACCAGACTTGAGCTTTCGGAGAGCTGCCGCGAATTGGGACACTGGGACCACAGTGACGGGTCTGATTGGCTCTATGACATTCCGTTGAAGCAAGGCAACGAAATCGGTAAAGACGTCCTTGACACGATCTTGTTTGTGCTGGAATAGGTCGCGAAGATCAATGCCGGAGTAGGTCGCATTGCTGTTAAAGGGCTTCATGGGCAGGTTGTTATTCTGGAAGGCATCCTTTTTGCCGATGTCGACAAACCTGCCAAACGGTGCCATCAAAGCCCAAGTCTCCTTCATCAGCTCTCCGCCGAGCGAGTTTACAACGACGTCCACGCCCTTGTTTCCTGTCGCGCTCAAGATGCTGTCTCTGAATCCCGGCGTGCGGCTCGAGAAGATGCGGTCTCTGGGGATGCCGTATGTCTGATGTAGGAAATCTCGCTTTTGCTCGCTTCCGGCAGTGACATAAACGCGAGCGGCCGCTTGCTGTGCCAGCATGATGCATGCCTGGCCGACAGCACCGGCTGCGGCATGGATGAGGACCGTCTCGTTCTTTCGGAGTTGAGCTGTGTGTCCGAGGGCCAGAACGGCGAGAGAGTAGGCGAGCGGCATGGTGGCAGCATCCGTGATACTTACACCCTCTGGAATCCTTCCAACAACCCATGAAGGCAATTTCACTTCCGTCGCCAAGGCGCTGGTTTCCAGTGTTAGGAAGAAGACGTCATCCCCTTCTCGCAGATGGGAGACCCTCGCGCCGACCTTGACAATCTTGCCGGCACCCTCGCATCCCGGGGACGCCCAGGGAACAGAGCCGAGTATGACTTCAAGATCGCGATGGCCAACCCCTGCGGCCTCGACTCGGACGATGACTTCATTTTCGCCCAGTTGGGAAAGATCCGTCCTCTGGAAATAGATGGTGTCGGGGCTTCCCGCGGCATCGATGGTCAATTCTAAGCCTCGCTCGCTGTTGTCCCACAGGTTTTGATGTTTTCTAAAAGCCACCCCTTCCTCGACGGCAAACTGCTCCTTGACATGCTTCAACTGCCGCATACGGGGTAGTTGTATCTGCCCGCTGTTCCAGCTAAAGTCGAAATCTTGGTCGCGCGTTAGCTCTGGGTCTTGCAGCCTGGCGGCCAGCTTGAGAATTCCCGAAGCTCCCAGGGGCGTGTACGGCACGTCTTCAAACAAGATCAAGTTCTTCAGATCAACTTCCATCCGTAGGGTGCGCACCATGCCTTGTATGATTTTGGCGTCCGGAGTTGCCCCCACAGGTGTCACCCACAACAGTCCCATGTTGCGTAGGAGCAGGGTCTGAAGGCTCTTAAACTTGTCTGGTGTCATACCTTGCAGCACGCTATCGCGTGCCGAGTCGAGGAAGAGGTAGTACGACTCATCGTCGGGGTCTATTTCGGAAAAGGGGTTGACTTCGGTGGGACAGCCAAGCTCTCTTGAAATCGAATCGGCTAACACTTGTGCGAACTCGACTTCGTCGTCATGCATAAAAGGTCCACAGACAGTAATAGGCCTGTTGGTATCCCGCTTGCCGATTCTCGTCGAGCAAATAACACTAACCAATGGTTTGTCCGTGTTATAGCTGCTCGGGATGACGACTTCGCTGCCCGAAAATCCCGTGTCGAGGAGCAGTTGGTGCCAGACGGGGGCCCGCATCATGGGACCATCTTCGGCATCGCGGTACTTGTCTGTGGCCTCCCACCAACCTGGAAGAAGCGAGAAAGGGAGCACAGAGGCTGGGTGGCGCATAGCCTCGAGCAAGATGAGCTTGCCTCCCGGCTTCAGCAAGCTCCGCACATTAGCCATAGTCCTCGCCATGTCGGTAGTAGCATGCAATACGTTGGCTGCAATGACAACGTCGTAGTCTTGCAGATTGAAACCTTGCCCTGCAGGGTCCTGTGTGATGTCGAGCCTCTTATAAGTAATTCTCTGCGACCACTTGCCAAGCTTTTGTCGGGCCATCTCGAAGAAACCTGACGAGATGTCGGTAAATGTGTAGTCAAGGACCCCTGGCTCGTCCCTGTCGCGCGACAGGCCCTCCATTACGGGGAGCGTCGTTCCGGCCGTTCCTCCTCCAATTTCGATTATGCGTTGGTTTGGCTCAAGGTCAGCCAAGTTCTCTGAGAAGTAGCCTAAAAGCTTGCTGAGATGTGCGTTCGTCAAATCCGCCTCATAATGCCTTGTCAGACGCCCATCGGCGAGCATGATCTCCAGTGGTTCGATCTCTCCACGCAGGATGTCAGGGATTCTCTCGCCCATCATGCAA